CACAAAGCCAATCCAAAGACAGCTCCAGGAGGGGGAAAAGAAATGAAGGACCAAAGCCAGCAAGCTACACACGTGCAAGTCCTCAGCCACAAGCGCAGCCGACATGGAAGGGAGCGGCAAATGAAGCTGAACCGCGCCAACATCCTGCAGAAGGGCAGGAGCAAAAAGGCACTCATTAAGGTGCTCAAAATCGCCCCCCCCCCCCTTAGGTAAACCTGGACCACAGTCAACGCCTCACGCCACTCAAGCCTGCGAGTACGACAGAAGGAGTCCCAAGCATCCAACGAGAACAAAGGGCAGTCCGCAAGCCAAGACGAGCCCGGAACCTCATAACAAACACAGAATGGAGATGAAGAACCAGACCTGAAGGAAGATGGATCCTTTATGGAGGCATATTCTGGGTCGCGCAGGAGGCAAGCCGAAATGGCTGTCCACAGTAGACGAGGCGCGGGAAGCCAAAAACCTCCGAAAGGACAGAACCGAAGGATCTGCAGGGACAGGGAACCGAAACTGGGGAGGAGCTGAACCCTAATCCAACTCGTACGCAGAGGGGTAGGGGAAGGAAAACACCACTTTTTGTAACAGTAAGCTCCGCTCAATGGGTCGGAAAACCCAGGTAGGATCCAACGGGGCCCAAGGCCCCCAAATCAGCTCCTCCCCAACCACCATGAACCTCCTCCATGTCAGGCCCTGGGGACGAGTCGTCCTCCAAAGCCCCGGCCTCACAAGAAAAACTTGGGGAGGCTGAAATAGCAGGAAGAGAGCGAGCCCACTGGTCAGACCCCAGAGCTATCGCTGGAGTAACAGACTTGAATGCCTCCATAGCCACCCTAGAAGGGGCAACCCACGAAACAGCCCGAGTCTCAGAAACCTCTAAACCCTGCCCCGACCCCGAAGCCCCCAGATACTTAGAAGCCAGAAGCAGGGGGGGGGGGGGCTGAATGAACCACAGCAGGGGAAGAATGAGGGGGCGTGCACTGATCCAAGGCTGACATGACCAACACCCCAAGTCCGGGTCCCTATAAGCAAAATGGGGCAGCCTTGGGGTATCTGAGGAAGCAACCAACCTAGCGCCTTGCAACAACCTTAACCCTTAAATTGCGCATCGCATCATATGATGCTTTGACCGACTTGCAGTAAATTGTGCATCACATCATATGATGCTTTGGAGTACTACGCAAGATTTAAACGGCCCGCGGATACATGGGGGTTCACCACACCTTCATCAGGGCTCTTGTAAAAAGACGCCATTTTAAAAAAAAAATCGTGGGCCAAATTCCCGGGTGTGAAGGGCCTCAGTATTGAGTGAGCTACCAAGCCTGATGCACGCAGCATGAGCTCACAGCACTGCTGTTCAGCTTGTGACCACAGCATCGCCTAAAATGCCATAATATACTTGTTCATGCTATTATGTAGCGATGATATTATTACAGAAGACCCCTGACGGTGATAAAACTGACCAGGGTTCTGATAATAGCAGGATTGTGGTGATATTTAGCGCTGTGCTCCATGTTGGGAGGAGTAATGCTGTGGGAGAGGAGGGTAGTGGCATTGTCTTCTGACTGTGTGAGGCCACCTTTTATTGACTGCACCCACCATACCAGCTTAGTGGTTCATTATGATGAACACAAATGTAGATATGTACTTATATATAACGTGTGCATAGATGGTATAAACAGCAAGAGTAGGAGGTTGGAAGCCACCATTTTGGTGAGGGAGGTGGCGTTGTCTGCACGACTTATCATGTTGTTTACTGGTGACACGATGGTCTGTCGGAACCATACCAGTTTACTTGTACAAGTATTGTGAATAAAACAGGTAGATATTTATATATAATGTGTGTGTATATAGCGTAATAACACCACAAACAGTATTGTTGTAGGAGAAATATTAGTGCGTCTGGCCTTGAGGGCGGCAGCCACCAGCTGACTGTGTGAGGTCCTAAGTCTTTGTACTTTTACTCACCATACAAGCTTAGATGTACAGTTATGGTGAACAAAACATGTAAATACTTATATATAACGTCTGTATATAAAAGCAAAAACAGTATGGTGGGAGAAGAATGGTGGCAAGTCAGGTGAGGTGAGGGAGGGAGTGGCAGCCAGTGGCGGGCTGCCACTGCCACTGCCACTCAGCATACTAACTTAGTGGTTCGTTATGGTGAACACGAATGTAGATACTTATATATAGCGTCTATATATAGTGAATAAAAGCAAAAACAGTATGGTGGGAGGAGAATGTGGGCGAGTGAGGTGTTGAGGGAGAGAGTGAGTGGCAGCAAGTGGCTGGCTGGAATGTGGTGGTCACTCCTCGTTACTTTTTGACTCATAATAGCAACTTAGTGGTTCGTTATGGTGAACAAAACATGCAGATACTTATATATAACCTGTGTATATAGTGTAATAACCGACAAAGTATTTGTTCACTGTTTGATGAACATAATTGAATCAACAATATGGACACCATATTTTTGAGTGAAGCGATGATTCACTCATTTTATTATATAAATATATCACACTACACACTATTGAATAATATTACTGCAAAAAAACTAAGAAAAATCAATTAAGAGACATTGAAATAATTAGGTAATTATCTCTTTGTGGCCACTCCGGCCTGACAGCTGGCAAGCAACAGAGCGCTTGGGACGCACGCTGAGTCAGCGCCTGTTTTTTGCCAGACTTCCCTGCCCTATAGCGGGCAATATATGCCACTTACGATTTTTTTAGTATTTTTCCCATTATCAGTGAACACAAATTAACAGGTTAGGAAGAAAAAAGATTTTTTTTTTTTTGTATGCGCCTGTGGGTGTCAAATGGTATATAGCCATGCGCCATTTTAGGGTTAACCTATCCTGTAAAGAGCGAGCTGCGTGAATCCGAATAATGTCATCATTAGATTGAGTGAATTGAGTCACAAACAAGCAACAAAGCTCACAGGACTCAGGGTCAAATGTGTCACCGACCCACACAGGCAACACGACGGAGGCAAAAACAATGAGCATCACCTTAAGACAAAGGGACAGAGCAAGCCTCAAACTTACACAAAGTGAGTGCGAACTCAGGGGTCTCATCCATTGGATCCCGAGTGCCCCAGCGGGGTTTCCCAGGGCCCCTAGACTGGGTCTGCTAAGGGTAATCCCAGGCAGGGTACTGCTAACCAGCGCCCAAGCTACCAGTCAGCACTACTAATGCTAAACCCCCGGGACGTGTCCACTCACGAGGGTGAACCCGGGGGTAACACCAAACAAAAACAACCCTAATATAAAGGAGGCGGCACACCAAGGCAGACCCCCCCCCCCCACCAGGCTAAAAGAAAAAGAAAAACCTCGCAAGAGGACATCATACCAAGATGAAAAAGCGCCAGCCACTGTTATAGGTGAAAACTGGGAAGGACAAGGAGAGGCAGATGGAACCAAAGTCGAAGTGACTCCCACCCACAAGTCCGGGCCACTAAAACCAAAACGGGCCAGTCTCGGGGCATCTGGGCAAGCAACTAACCTATCACATTGCAGCAACCTAAACCTAGCATGCAATGCAGCTGCTGCCTGCACCCTCATATCATGATCAGTAGCATGGGTGAACTGGAGAATGTACAAACAACACACGTCACATGACTCTGGGTCAAAAGAATCACTGACCCTACACGCAGCATGGTGGAGGCACAACTGGTGATTGTCACCCTGATACAAGGAGACAGAGCAACTATCAACCTCAGACAAAGCGAGAGGGAACTCAATGGTCGCATCCATCGGACCTCGGAGCCCCTGCGTGGTTTCCCAGGGCCCTTAGCCTTGGTAACAAGCTAAGGGAAGCCAGGCAGGGATCCTGCAAACCGGCACCCAAAACTACCAAGCAAACTTTTAAAAGCTGAACCCCCAGGACGTGTCCACTCACAGAGGGCCTAGCAGGGGATACCACAAACAACACAGATATGTATTTATAGATACCCTGAATATATATAGGGGCAACCAACCAAAGGCAGACCCGCCCACCAGGCAGGAAAACAAAAACAAAAGAAAAACCCTACAGAAGGACAACTTATCCAGGTGGAACAGAGCCGGCCGCTATAATAGGTGATAACTAGCTGTGCAGTACCCCACGCTACCAGTGGGGTACGTCATACCAGTGACGAAAACTACCTCCTACCCTGAGGCAAACATGGGCAACAAAAACGCCAGTTGACTCCAAGGACGGCCAAGTACCGAGCAGTAAAAGACACAGCAGAGGTAGATCCCAAGGTGATTTTTGGAAGGTGGCCATAAGCCCCAAGGGCAGTACTTACAAAGCACCGAGGGAAGGCGACCCTTGGTGCATGCAGCCCAAATACTGAAGAATATTACTCCTGGCTTGCACACCACCCTTAGACACAGACCATGCCACAAGGCACAGAAACTGAGACAAATTCAGGAGCCAGAGGCATAAGACCTCGCCATTATCACATCAGCCAAGAACTGAAGGGTGGATCGCTGGTGTGAGGGTCTGGGACTCCCCCTTCCCCCTCCCAGGGAGGGGGGTGGTAAGGTAGCACAGACAGCAGCGCAGCAACATGATGACGTCATGATCATTTGCTAATTTTCGTTTGGGGAGTTCTGTCCACTCGTTCAGATTTCGGTAGCAATATTTTCACCAGAATAGGGGTTTGTTTTGGGGCACCTACCTTTCTGGGTGCCTGTCCTGGTCGATGGCAGACATAGAATGCTCCCAATCACATGGGAGTTTCTATAGGCCATTGCTCCTTGTGCCTCTCTGAGGGAGCCAAGTTCTGGCATGTGGTCCCCGGTAGGCAAGAACTCCATGCACATCGACTGATTCCAGAAAGCTAATACAATATATCCATATCAGCCTGGATAGCTTCAGGAAACCAACAAGGCTCCCCCCAGAAAGTTTCCTATATATAAAGTCAACTCTCATCTCGATGTGTCTCCATGTCAAAAGTGTTTATATAGATGGAATACTACACTCTGTTGGGTGAGAACAATGTGACCTTCAGCAGCATACCTTCACTGAGGTGTGGACAGTCTTGACATTAGGGAAGAGTTCCTGGCACTTCCTGAGCCAATCTTCTATCTTCATGCTGCACCCATCAGCTGAGTCTATGGTTGTGTCAAACTCCTGTGGGGTGTTGACTGTGTCGAGGCTCCCCAACATGGCCTGCAGCTGAGTCTTCCCTTCCTCTCCTTGTGTTGTCATATCCACCACACTGGTATCCTCCAGTTCCAAGAGCTTCATTGCTGACTTGTTCTGCTCTACCAGAGCATAGAGTCTGTCCTGGAGCTGGAGGTGCTGAGTCTTCCAGTCCCCCAGCTCTCCCCGGTACTCCCCCAGCTGGGACAGTACCTCTTCACAGCTAGTAATGAGGCTGCTGATGATGCTCTTCTGCTCCTGCACCAGGGAACGTAACTTCTTGCTGATGCCTCTGGTGGGACCTTCAGAAGATTTTGCTGGCACTACTTCCTCAGTTGTTAGCTGGATATTTTTTAGTTTCCTAACAAAAGCCTCCACAGCATAGCTAATTGGGAACTGAGTAGCGGCTGTGGCAACGTGCTCGGCACGGCAGCTGGGGCATGTTAGCTGACCATTCTTGATAGCATTGTCAATACACTGGGAGCAGAATGTGTGGCCACATGGCAGTGTGCGAGGTCGTAGCCGATTGTCATCATAATCGTTAAAACACACTGAACATTCCTCTGGCTTGTTATCCTGTGGAAAAGAATATTTAGTTATGCTAGATGTATTTGCAACAAAAACTAATATTACAGTACTTTATTTACTAATACAAATTACATAATATTTTTATACATTCTTTGCATTAGCTATTCTAGAGCAGGGTTAATATTACTGACAGATTAACACATTCACAGCAAGGCCAATATTTTTTATAAACATATCCCGGAGTATGGGATAATATATTTTGGTAACATATTGCAGCAATAGGGCTGTTTATAAGCCATACCTGAGAGTATAGACTAACAAAACCCGTCCTTACTTTATTATGAATAATGGAAGGAAATGTATGTATCGTATGTGATAATGGGGGAAGGATCAAGTATTCTTAGTCTAAGTTGGACAATAAGTACACTGTGGGTTACATCTTAACACATGGGTTTTATTGAATAACTCTGGATTATTTTACACTTACTATGGGAACACACAATTACGTTACAGGACTGTTGAGATTGAGTGATACTCTTCACCAAACATAACCATGATGGATAAATTGACTATTGGTCTCACACAAATCTGGGCTTAGTTGATTTGGTGGTGATAAGACCACCAAATCTTATCTATTTGATTTATAAACTAAGTACAGTGTGTGTGTGTGTGTATATATATATATATATATATATATATATATATATATATATATATATATATATATATATATATATATATATATATATATATATTCTGGTATAGGGCTTCTATCCCTCTATTTTCTTAGCATCAGGGCTTAGCTGAAATAGGAGTTCTCCAAAACTCACTTTCGTAATTTTAAGGTGAAGAAAAGAAGTGAATTACTATAGAATGTATTACACTTAATTATACAATTTGCACAACGTTTCGAACCTCCATGGTTCATTCTCAAGTGAATGTTATTTTCAGGTTTTGGTTGATTTTATACCCACATTGAGTCAGGTGATAAGACAATAAAGGTGAAAACATAGGGGGATACATAAGAACATAAGAATAGAGGCCAGAACATAACGATGCCAACACAGAAGACACCGTTCAACATAACAGGCCAATTACACTTGATTAATCTTTGTATGTAGATAACAGCTGCCTCGTATGGGCCAATAGGCCTTCCACAGTTACCTCTATTCATATGTTCTTGTGTATCCCCCCATGTTTTCACCTTTATTGTCTTATCACCTGACCCAGTGCGGGTATAAAATCAACCAAAACCTGAAAATTCCTTTCACTTGAGAATGAACCATGGAGATTCGAAACGTTGTGCAAATTGTATAAATAAGTGTAATACATTCTATAGTAATTCACTTCTTTTCTTCACCTTAAAATTACGAAAATGAGTTTTGGAGAACTCCAATTTCAGCTAAGCCCTGATGCTAAGAAAATAGTTAGAGGGATAGAAGCCCAAACCAGAAAATAGTAAATACAGAATATGCGGTCATATTCAATGAGACATGTTTGAAAGAAAAGCTGTTGCCAGTATACACCAATATATATATATATATATATATATATATATATATATATATATATATATATATATATATATATATATATATATATATATACAAATATACATATATATATATATATATATATATATATATATATATATATATATATATATATACATATATACATATATATATATATATATATATATATATATATATATATATATATATATATATATATATATATATATATATATATATATATATATATATACAATGGGGCCTCGACTTACGATGCTAATCCGTTCCCAGAGACGGATCGTAAGTCGAAATATCGTAAGTAAAAGTGATTTTTCCCATAAGAATTAAAGGGGAACTGAATTAATCCGTTCCCCACCCTCCAAAATTATTAACATACAAATACATTTTATACTGAATACAATGTTTGTTTCTAACTACAATACAGTACCAAAGTGTCTCTTACCTTTATGGAGGGCTCTTGATGGCGTATGGAAGATGGTGATGAGGAGGGAGGAAGAGAGTTCCCTTCCATTATCACATCAGGCAGTGATGTTTTCTCTGGGGTACTCTCTCTCCTACGTTTTGCCTGAATACCACTAGGACCTGGTTGTGGTTCAGTGCCTGTTTGTCTCACTACAAATTTGTCAAGAGACATTTGTTTTTCCCTTCATTTTAACATTTATCTGTAATGATGCATCACAGTGTCATTGAATAGGTTAAGGCAACGACCTACTGCAGCTTGATTTGGGTGAGTCGTTTCAGCAAAGGTTTGCAATTCTTCCCATGCTGCACACATTTTCTTAATTGTTGAGGAAGAGACATTCTGTACTCTTGTTTCTGCTCTATGGTCATCATTACATGGGTTTTCATATTTTGAGCCTTACCACTGACTTTCCTGGGACTCTTGGCGTGTTATATAATAATTACTTTAATATTCAAAATGCAAAAAACACCATAAAAGCGGAATTTCTTATAGGCGCGATCGTCACTAAGCGGGCAGCTGTAGTAAACTGAGGCAGGTCGGCCGCGTGACTGGGAACCACGCGCACGGTCGACCTGAACGTGTACCAACAAATATCGGAAGTCGATGACACCATCGGATGTCGAGTCGCATTTTTCGATGAAATTTACATCGTAACTCGAAATTATCATAAGTAGGGGCAATCGTATGTCCAGGTGTCACTGTATATTATATATATATATACATATATATATATATATATATGTCGTACCAAGTAGCCAGAACACAATTCTCAGCCTACTATGCAAGTCCTGATTTGCCTAATAAGCCAAGTTTTCATGAATTTCAATATTTTTATAATTTTTTTCTTATGAAATGATAAAGCTATTCATTTAATTATGTATGAGCTAATTTTTTTAAATTTGAGTTAAAACTACCATAGATATATGACCGAAGCTAACGAACCCTACCTAACCTAACCTAACCAATCTTAATCTAACCTAAATTAACATAACTAAATCAATAATTTATATTCTTAATATAATATAATAATAATATTTAAAATAAACTAATAGAAAACAATTTATTGAGAATAAAGAAAATCACTCAGCCTATTAGGCAAATCTGGCCTTGCATAGTAGGCCGAGAAGTGCGTTCTGGCTACTATATATATATATACAGAGCACCACTTGGTTTCCAAACTTTAGTTATCCGAAACTTCCAGTTTCCCGATTGGGGTTGGGGAGTCATGCTACCCGAACAAAGTTCGGGTAGGAAGGGGTCCGCCAAGCGTCACGCCGGCTTGTGGTGGTGGGTGGGAGATGGTCCAGTTTGCCCACTGTGACTTCACAGATTCACGGCCTATTATTCCTATTATTTTGAATTGCTATAAGGCTGGAATGTTCATTCTGTGCTTTTGTTTTACATATCTGCACAATCAAGAAACATCTGTGCACCATGTCGGCTCCAAATGCACGCATTGCGTCAGTGATGGCTGACCGGTGGGTGGATGGATGAGGGAGCTTAGGTGGGAGGCAGTATGAGAAAGGGGGAGAATCAGTGAGAGGGGGGAGAATTAGTCAGAAAGGGAGGGAGGGAGAGAGAGATGCTAAGAGGGAGGGGGAGGGAGGGAGAGATGCAAAGAGTGAGGGGGAGGTAGGGAGAGATGCTAGGAGGTAGGCAGGAAGGGACGGAAGTAGTGAGAATTAGGGAGGGAAAGGCAGGCAGGCAGGCAGGCACAGGCAGGCAGGCAGGCAGGCTAGCTTGCAGGCAGGCTGGCAGGCAGGGAGTGAGTGGTAGTCACGCGGTTGAACCGCGTGACCTTTAAAAGAGAGTATGGGATGTAGGGGGGCGGGTGGTGGGGGCGAGACCGGCTCATTCCCGAAGATAAGCCTAACACACACTACCCATTAGCATGATGGCAGGCAGGCAGGCTAGCAGGCTGGTAAGGAGGCAGGCAGGCTTGCAGGCTGGGAAGGAGGCAGGCAGGCTTGCAGGCTGGGAAGGAGGCAGGCAGGCTTGCAGGCTGGGAAGGAGGCAGGCAGGCTTGCAGGCTGGGAAGGAGGCAGGCAGGCTTGCAGGCTGGGAAGGAGGCAGGCAGGCTTGCAGGCTGGGAAGGAGGCAGGCAGGCTTGCAGGCTGGGAAGGAGGCAGGCAGGCTTGCAGGCTAGGAAGGAGGCAGGCAGGCTTGCAGGCTGGGAAGGAGGCAGGCAGGCTTGCAGGCTGGGAAGGAGGCAGGCAGGCTTGCAGGCTGGGAAGGAGGCAGGCAGGCTTGCAGGCTGGGAAGGAGGCAGGCAGGCAGGCTGGGAAGGAGGCAGGCAGGCTTGCAGGCTGGGAAGGAGTCAGGCAGGCTTGCAGGCTGGGAAGGAGGCAGGCAGGCAGGCTGGGAAGGAGGCAGGCAGGCTTGCAGGCTGGGAAGGAGGCAGCCAGGCAGGCTTGCAGGCTGGGAAGGAGGCAGGCAGGCAGGCTTGCAGGCTGGGAAGGATGCAGGCAGGCAGGCAGGCAGGCTTGCAGGCTGGGAAGGAGGCAGGCAGGCAGGCAGGCTTGCAGGCTGGGAAGGAGGCAGGCAGGCCGGCTGGGAAGGAGGCAGGCAGGCTTGCAGGCTGGGAAGGAGGCAGGCAGGCAGGCAGGCAGGCTTGCAGGCTGGGAAGGAGGCAGGCCGGCAGGCAGGCTTGCAGGCTGGGAAGGAGGCAGGCAGGCAGGCAGGCTTGCAGGCTGGGAAGGAGGCAGGCAGGCAGGCAGGCTTGCAGGCTGGGAAGGAGGCAGGCAGGCAGGCTTGCAGGCTGGGGAGGAGGCAGGCAGGCAGGAAGCGATATATGGGTGTTGAAGTGAACCATGAACCACGTGACCTTTGAGAGTGTGTGTGTATGGGTTTGGGGTGGGGGGAGAGGGGGAGGTGTGTCGGTGGTGGGGGAGGGACCGGCTGACTCCGTAAGCCTAACCACACTCCACAGACCTGTGACCCAGATTTGTTTCTTAAATGTACAGTACATCATCGTATATTTTAGGCAGGATGTGCCTGCAGGCTGGCAGGATGTGCCTGCAGGCTGGCAGGATGTGCTGGCAGGCAGGCTG